CATTTAAAAATCCTTCAAACCTCCCAACTTTATTAATGAATGAGGAGCGTGTCAGTACCTAGTCGGCGGCCAGCTAGCAAAGTGGCTAATTTAGTAGTCTCATCACTTATTGCTCCTTCTTGTCAAACATCACAAACAAATGGTTTGTTCATGAAAAGAAACTCGATATTCTCTTTACAGAGACTTCGATCAAGCCAAAAGCAGAAAGTAGAATATCACCAAAATAAAACCTACAGCTACATCAAACATGGCTTTAACAGAAGCCAGACTGACATGTAGTGGCCATCTCTATCATGTCACTGAAACAAACAAACGAGTTTCCTTTGACGGTGGCTAAGTTGTAGTCTAGTTCTGATGGCTCACGTATGATAACGGTTTCAACTCCAAAACGACATATTGTTTACCCAAATTTATAGTCCACCTAAAGTTTGGAACTTCAAGGCACCGCTTTAGCTTGGTACTCTGCTAATTTGTTGCCATCGTAAGTCATTCCGCGATTACATAACGGCTGCACCAGTCTGTTTGGTTTCATTATTTATAGCCATTTATAGCAGCAATCTATCTGAGTATTATGAAGAAAAAAAATGGTCCAAGCTTTCTGCATTCAGTAGAAAGTGCATCGTGTATGTGCCAAACTGTCATAGAAACAGACACTTTGTGGGGTTTGCGGGGGTGTAAAGCCTACTTCCGAGTCAAAGAATGCATCCCGGTAGAGCTTGGCGGTATTAATGGAGAGTGCATTGCCTTAGAGTCGTTTGCTATTCTGCCATCCATTAGTTGGCTTTGAAAACTGCTTTTTGATGAATCAGGTAGGAAAGCTTTTCAGATTGTGTTAGTGTTAGCTTTCCGTTTGCAGTTAGATAAATACAGATGTGTTTCTTTGGCTACATGTATACTTCAGTTGCTGACAAAATAGTCAAACATGAAATGGTGTGATAACAGATGATTAGCCGATTACGAAAGATGAGGGCATTCGTTACGATGGCTGCAATGTCTGATTCCATTCGGAAAAGGGCAAGGTCCCGTTTTTTATGGATTCCTTTGCACTCACTTGACAGATGGCCAGTGGAAATGGAGGAGCGGGCTTTGAAATCCTTTTTGTCGGTCCTATTTTTGAAAGCAGCATTTCCTGACCTTTTACTGAGCCAAAGTACGTATGGTACCTTGACTCATGGGGGCCCCAATTTACGTTAAAGTTTTTGAGTTCAAGCCATCGCTTGGTCAATTTTGGATTGATTCTATGCACAAGCGTCTGTATTTAAACGGTATGATGCTTTTTCTCTTTACTCAAAACTGGTAACAAAGGAACATATATATATATAGATATATAGATATATAGATATATATAGATATATATCTATATATATATATATATATATTTTTTTTTTTTTTGGGGGGGGCAGAACAGATTAATAAATACTGGCGTTATAAATTGAGTTACGATCTTGGTAACAGCAAATACGAAACTCGTAAATCAAGGTAACGCTGTATTTTATATTAATCACAATCGTGTGGCACTCTAACAAACTACATTGTCACAAAATGTTACTTTTGCACAAATGGTACAGTAAAATATTTAGCTTTTCCTATCTGGTGAAAGAGCCTGTAATTGCTTTGCCTGTCACTATTTGTCACTGTCAACTAAGAGACATTATTTGAAGTACTTTGTAAATAACTGATCATTTCAGCAATGAAGTGAAATTGGATAATTTCCCTCAGGACATCTAATGATCTTTCACTGATGATGTCACAATTTTCTTTCAGTCATAAACAATGTTATTCACCAACATTGGACAGCTCATACACCAAATTTCGACGTATCGTTCTCTGTCATGTGATGGTACTTCCAGCTTGATAAAAATGTTTCTTTGATTTGCTTTCTCCTGGAACAACCTGGTAATGTTTGCACAACTTGGCCAAATGGGAAAACCGGTCCTCGACCTGGTCCAGACCACGGCAGCATGGTTTGCAAATAATTATGGACCTGAACTAATTTCTTGCTCTACTTCCACTTTGATGGTTCAGGCTCAAATTTTTTAGAAACCCTGCTCACGCCTTGCTTTTTTTTCTCCACTGGTTCTCCGTCACGAAAGCTACCTATTCAGATATTTAACACAATTGAAATTAATGATGTGATAAAATAATTTCATTCAACTCTCTCATCTGTTGGGAGAAGTGCTTTGCCTCATCCTCAACCCCCACCACCACCACCGCCACCCCGCAAAAAAACAGATTACCAACTCGTTGACGTCATGCTATAAATGCCATTATGGAATAATAAAGTCAACTAATCTTTCCAACCCTTCAGGCACGGTGGGTGGTAATCACTGATCTAAAGGCTGCTATCGCTTCCAACTTTATCGCTTTCAAAAAAGGTCACTCTTTGAACAGTGCTTATTTTGATAGAAAGACAAAGAATGTGAGAATCTGCAGGATGTTAAAAAACACAAAGACAAATTTGAGGTGTGGATTGCAACAAGCAGCCTGGTAAACGATGTGTGCTGCAGCTTCCTCTAAACAAGATGCCCTCACGGGACATGTTACCTTAGCCACTTTCCATCACATGGACAAAAAAAACCCTCCTTTATGGTGACCTTGGGGAAATGCACTGACGCCTCTGCTACTGCTGATCTCACTTGCATTTTGCCCCCAGGGGACCATTGAGGAAAATATGAGCACTAACAATGCTATTTGTCTCAATCTGAGCAGACCACTGACGTTTAGAGTAGTTTAAACGGCAAAATTATGAATGGTGATCAGTTAACAACCTGAATTTAAAAAATAATGTAAGGCTAGTGGCACAGTGAACAACTGGTTAGCATGTCCGCTTCACAGTGCGGAGGTGCAGGGTTCGATTCCGGCTCCAGCTTTCCTTCGTGGAGTTTGCATGTTCTCCCCATGCCTGTGTGCGTTTTCTCCGGATACTCTGGTTTCCTCCCACATTCCAAAAACGTGCATGGCAGGCTGATTGAACATTCTAAATTGAACTGCAATTGTGAGCGTGAGTGATTGCTCATCAATGTGTGTCATGCGATTGGCTGGCAACCAGTTCAGGGTGTACGCCGCCTATTGCCCGAAGACAGCTGAGATAGGCTCCAGCATGCCAGCAACCCTCATGAGGATAATCGGATTAGAAAATGGATGAATGGATGGATGGATGTAGGGCTACTGTAAATGTAGAATCTTTACTGCATTGGAGTCAATTAGGTCTTCAATACTAAAGAGACTTTCGTGGAAGACTAACTTATTCCCAGGGAGAGTGAAATAAGGATCCACCTTAGAGACCCATTGCATCCCCCATCCTTTCTGAATAGAACACCAAGACAGGCTTTAGTAACTCTAACCCTATTAGGATAGTATTGGCTTCTGAATTGCTTAATGAACATACGTAAGGAGTACACAATAACACGACGGAGAGCTCCTAAATGCGCTATTGACTTTTTCAAAGCTTAAAACCTTCAAAAGGTTCCATTTCAAATGGATCTTTCCATAATAATAATGTATGTAGATGGATGGATGGATGGATGGATGGATGGATGGATACATCTAATCCAGGCTGAAACGGCGCCCTTGATGAAACAGGAACTAATGAACTGTACAGGCAATTTTTGAAACAACATTTAACCCTCCTTGTCATACAAAGGAAATAAACCAGAGTTTACTCAAGAATTTACTCAAATTACACATATTGTATTGCATTAAGTGCAAAGATGTACGGACAATAAATCTTCAGCTAGAAAACAGTTTACTCCTCCCACATGGTGACCGCCAGACATGATGACAAGTGGAATTGTTATGAAAGGAAAAGGTATGTCTTCAAGTAAATTTGGAATAAAATACCATAAATTCCTCAAGACTTTTCTGCACCTTAGTCTGAACATGGAGAAATGCCAGTGGGAGTCAGTGCAGATCGCCAGGAAAACCAGGGGTTGGTGTTCCGGCTGAGTATAAAGGATCAAACTTACACTTACTTATTTAACACTATTTAGTGCATCCAAGAAAACTCAATGCAGCTCTGTTTGTGTTTTAGCCTTGAAATGAAAATAGGGATGACACAGGTGTGAGGCAGATGTGTCTGTTTCTGAATGCTATTGACTGCAGGGTTGTTTCAGACTTTGCGCAGCCGCTGCATGAAAGTCACTCCAAATTGTGGATGTCATTGGCGGGAAAGTGGTGTCGGGGCAATAACGCTGCAATTCAGAACTGAGTTTTGTCCCTGCAAGTACACAAAATAAGCTCCTCTGTGGAGGAAAAAAGAGTAGTAGTTTTGGAATATGCCAATTTCCACTGGAAGTGACCTGCCTCTCTGTCAACTTTCCTTTTCTTCACTACAGTCTTCATTACAGAAATGGGCTGGAAAAGTGCACGCAAGTATGCAAGTGTAGAATACTTAAATCAATATATACACAAACAGACATTATTTAACACAGTTTTAAAGGTCAACTGTGAAGTCATTTTAGAACATCCCAAATGAAATATTTTTATTTCACAAGTAAAGTAAAAATGGCAAAGAGCAGTTAACGGGACTATCAACAATGCAGTACAAACGCTGACTGGCATTCGGCATTCTGTAAATGACGTCACTTGCACAGATTATAATAATAATAATAATAATAATAATAATAATAATAATAATAATAATAATAATAATAATGTACATGTATAAATAGCGTGTTCGTTTTGTTTTCTGTTTACTGAGAATTGTATTCTGACTTGTTCAATAAAGATTATTTATTAAAAAATAATAATAAAATAAAATAATAATAATAATTGATTTTCTTTTGAAGAACGAAAGCATTTTGGTTGTTAAGCGCGTTGCTATGAGTCTAACTATGAATATGGGTGGGTTAGGTTATAAAAACTAACGAAACTATGTTTGAAATAGTTTAAGATTTAAGTACTGTATTATTCAAAAGATGGTGAATTGGAGGACGTGAAAAGTCAATTGCGGAGGAACTCATTTCACGGGGTATTTTTTGTTTCCTTTCGGCGGAGTTTTACGATGCACCGAGAGCGCCAGTTGCACACGGACGGTTGCACAGGAAGCCGTGGATTTGATTTCAAGCAGAGAGCAGGCTGGAACGGCTTCACAACTTAGCTGCATGCCGAACTGTTACAGTTTCTTTCTTCACTATGACACGTGTTTGATATTAAGGCAACTGCGTAAAAAAACTATTTAAAATGAATCTTGACAGACTTCGAAAGCGAGTCCGGCAGTACATCGACCAGGTAACAGGGATGCTATGTGGAGTTAATGTCCATCGTAGCTAACGTTAGCCTGCATTCAAGCCAAGTGAACATGTCAAAGACATTTTTAGAGAACGTGCTTATTCAAGCAGCCTGGCATTATGCATTATGTGTCACTCTTGGGACTCTTGTGTTTGATTTCAGCAACAGTACCAAAGCGCGCTGTTTTGGGCCGACAAGATAGCGTCTCTTTCTCATGGTAAGTTGTCGGTGCCGGTGTCATCAAGTATTTTCCATTCTGGCAGTCAACGCGAATGTTTTCGAGATATCATTTGTTACCGGCAAATGGTGTGACTTATATTTGATTCGTACTAAGAGCAGTATATTATTTTAGCTTCGCACAACATTTATGTCTTTAAACCAGACTGTTTCCCTCATTTCCAATGAGGGTTTTATTTGTTTATTTGTTTGTTTATGCAACTTTAAACTTAATAACACGCTGCATAATTGCCAGAGGTCCACCACCACGACAAAGGCGATTGGATGGACGTTTTTATCCCTACTGTGTAATTTGAATGTCCGCAGTCTTGTTAACTAATTTAAATTAGCTTTCTCATATAACCTACTTTGTATAACTGTAGTTGAATTGGTCTGTAGTCTGGGGTGTTCGGAAGTAGTTGCATTTGTGTTGATAATGTGAATTGCTCTCACGCTATGACGAGCTGCTAGGAACAACTTCAAAATAAAAACGTATGTAGGCAATGATGTGAATATGTTATTTAAGACAAGGTTTAATTTGAAGTTGGCATTCTTACTGCATTGGTGGCATATTACTGTCATGCATGCATAAACAGTTGTTGCTGTGGTTCGCTTGACAACTGCACTTTTACTGGCATTTTACTCTGCCTCGATTTTTTTTTTAAATTTAATTCTGTCTTTTATATTATTGATTAATAGTGTGGTTCGCTTGACAACTGCACTTTTACTGGCATTGTACTCTGCCTCGATTTTTTTTTAAATTTAAGTTTCAGCCCGAATTCTGTCTTTTATATTATTGATTAATCATTGAATCGGATTTTAAAAAAGCATGTTTTAATATCCATCCCTTTATTCAAAAACAGGACATTATGCCAAATTGATACTGCAGAAAATTCTCAGATAGAAATTAATTCAGTTTCTGGTTTGATCCGTAACATGTCAGGTCATTGGCAAAAAAAAATGTTGTTTTCCCAAGTAAAAGCAGTTTCTGGTTTGAGACGTAACATGTCAGGTCATTGGCAAAAAAAAAAATTGTTTTCCCAAGTAAAAGTAAATGTTTTCAAATGTCTTATTTTGAAAAAAGACAATCAGTCGGCTTTCAGAAATTCTGAAGATTTGGACAATTATACATTTAACAAGGTTTTTAAACGATTAATCGATTGTCCAAACTATCTATTACCGTAATTTGCATTCCAATGCACTTCTGCTTGTTTGAGGTTGAAAATTTCCCAGTTTCCAGTTTTCTTTTAGTGCAGCAGCAGGTTCACCTCAACAAATAGGGCACACCAGCGCGGTGTTCCCACACAAATTAGAGCGGACCGAACATAACTACAGTTTTATTAGAACTTGAAAATATTTGGTCATGACACTGGAGTAGTGTTCTGTTTCACAAAAAAGTTGCTTTGCAATGTTTGCCTGTACTGTGACATAGTTTAAAGCAATGGCTGACCAAATTTATCATCTCCCCGGTGTTGTGGCATACAGAAGATCCACAGGACATATACTGGCTTGCTCAGTGCCTTTACTTGACGTCCCAATATCACAGAGCCTCGCATGCACTACGCTCGAGGAAACTTGATAAGGTAATTCCAAAAGTCTCTTTGTAGTAAAAGTTGGGCTTGACGTGTGTGTGGAAACCAAGTTAGTTCGAGAAAAGCTACGTTTCTGCATCATAGTCTGCGTTTGATGACTGCTTTGTTAAACATTTTATTTTTCAAATGAGGTTCACTATTGTTCGCTTGCATTGTGACATTCACCCTTTCTTATACAGATGTATGGAGCTTGTCAGTATCTTGCTGCACGGTGCCATGTAAGTTACTTGAATATGTGGTGGAACTTCTAGTATTGAACGCAGTGCTTGGTGGTGTTCTGATTTTTAATAATTTTTTCCCCCCCATGAAAAGTACTGATGATGGATCAAACTGTCAACACTACAAAGCAATTCATTGTGCGGGGCACTGTTTTGAGTAAAATTCATATCAGTCATCATCAGTCATCATCGAAATAAGAATTGTGAAATGTAAAAGCAATAAAATTCACAATGCTACT